CAGAGTTCCTGTGTGCCTCACCTTGAGTTTCTCCTGTCCGCGTAAATTGTGTGTGTGTGTGTGTGTGTGTGTGTGTGTGTGTGTGTGTGTGTCAGACAGACAGACAAGACAGACAGCATCCCAGCGATGGACACGGCCTGCAGAAGTCCACTGTTCCCTTCCCTCAGGGTCCCACTTGGTGGGTTATGACGCGCACCCACCGCTGCAGCGTCACAGGGAATGCAGTCACTGCCCTGAGCCCCCCGCGCCCCCCATTCTGCCCCACCTTTCCCGGATCCCTGGCACCTTCCGATCTTCTCACTATCTCTGCAGATTTACCTTTTCCGGACATTAGACTGTTGGAAATTTGACCCCTTTGAAAATTCACTCTTCATTTTGAAAGTTCAAAAGCGTCTCCCAGAGCTACGGGAATTCCCATCCAAAGCACGGCGGCCCCAGGGGGTCCTGCTGAAACCCGCCAGTTCTTCCCCCCCCCCATTCACGGAAGTATCTGTTTTGTGGCTGAAAGTCCTGGCACCCTGGTCACGTCACCTACTGGATCCTGTCACCCCCAGCATTAGAGTCCAGTCCCCTTCAAGGCCCATCAGGCCTCAGTCCCAGACTCTGTCCCCCTCTGTCCACCCTGCCACCCAAGCCCCCTTCCTCCCGCAGCCCCTGCCTGACCTGTCCTTTGGCCCCGCTGCCTCCTGCTCACCCTCCGGGTTGTAAGGGAACGTGGCTTCTCTTCAGAGGCCCTCGGAGCCCTGTCCCACAGGGGTAGTCCCATGTCCCCGTGGCTCCCGCAGAGTGGTGGCCCTTTATGAGCTTCAGTTTAACAGAAGGCATTGTGTGCCGAGAACCCAATGACACACGGTGGTCTCTCCACGTGGAGGACACTCCCTGGCCTCGGGAGGACCGAGGTGCAGCCCGCACTGAAACGCGGACGCGCCTCGGAAGCGTCACACTGAGAGAATCCAGACGGGGAAGGACCGCAGGCTTCCGTTGACAAGAACCGAGGGACACTCGTCCACAGGGACGGGAAGGGGGTAGTGCACGGCCTGCTGCCGCTGGGGCGGGCATGTGGGGACGTGGAGAAGCTCCTCTGGGTGATGAGAATGTTCTGGAACGGGCTAGAGGGCATGGTTAAAGCCCACTGAATCGCCCAAGTTGGTAAAAGTGGTGACTTTTATGTTCTGTATATTTTATCTTAATAAAATATTTTGAGAGTAGCCTGGACACGGCGTCACCTGGCAGAGGAGCCAGACTGCCCATCCTGGCCACAGGCCCCTCAAGCCTCCCTCCGCTGCAGCCCCTGTCTGGCCATTTGTCACACAAGTTGAGCTCAGTCCTGCCCCCCTACCGCGGGGCACCAGGCCCCTCCACCTGGCACTCTCCCCAAGCTCTTCCTGGGTCCTACCCTCCCTTCCTTCAGGCCTGGGCGTCAAGCCTTCCCTCAGCACCCCAACTGAAGAACGTGCCCTGCTGCCCTGCTGCTGGCCTGACCACTGACTGGAACGTGCTCGTCCTGTGTGTCCCTCCAGGGAAATCCCTGTCCGTAAGAAGCTGTGTCCCGGGAGACAGGCAAAGGGCTGAAGGAGAAGGCGGGTATCTGGGAGGGCGCGGAGTGTGCCCGGGTGCTTGGCAGCCACAGTGGGGAACAGTCACCTTGTCTGGAACGTGTTTGGAGGAGCCTGGCAGACCCAGCCTGAGCCAGAGACCCACGTCGCACCTCGGGCACCAACAAATGATGTGTATGTCCCTGGCTCCAGGCACGGGGATGCCCGGCGCTTCTGCCCCACCAACGTCTCATCAAGGGCGTCAAGAAAGAACGGCCTCCTTCCTTCAAGGAAAGGTGGTGGAATGTTCCGGATCCAAGGGGTCTAACAAGTCCCCACAATCACGTGCGACTCAAGGTCCTCAATCAGATCCTGGATCAGGAAAATACATCTTTATCTTCTGCCACCAGCGGGGTTAGCGGGAAGGGCAGGGGGCTGCGGTAAGGTCTGAAGGTGCCAGCATCGTGCCACGTGGCTTCTGTACTGTGACACTGCTCCTCCGTTATGTAAGAGAACGTCCCTGGCTTCGGAAAGTACACCATGAGGTGTTCAGGGCCCGAGGAGGAGAGGGTGAGGGAGCAAGGGAGAGGGAGATTGCAGAAGCCAGGGAGTCCAGCGAAGGACATCTGTGAGTCTCCAGGTCACACACCGCAGGTTCTGCTCACATCACGTTCTTGAGATGACAGAATTGTAGAGATGGAGTGCAGAGTGGGGATGGCAAGGGTGTGGTGACGGCAAGGGTGTGGTGACGAAGGGACAGCCTGGGACATCTGCGTGGTGCCAGGACAGACCTGCGTCCTAGAGGTGGTGGCCACACGCGTCTCTGCAAGTGACTAAACAGCAGAGATGGCACACCCACGCAGCAGCAGGGTCACTTTGCTGGCTCTGATGTGGCACGGCCGTCAGGTAAGATGTAATTCCCAGGGAAACTAAGGGAAGGGTACCCAAGACCTCTCTGTCCATAAATCAGTAATTACTTCAAAACAAGCTTTAGAGCTAAGTAGTACCCACCTCCATCTCCCGGCCCCAGTTCCTCTGCTGTGTCCTCCCGAGCATTTCTGCTCACTGACCAGACCTGCTGTTCTGCTCCTGGTCTGTCCCCTAGGGTGGTCAGCTCCACCTGGACCGGGCGGACTCTGTCTCCAGTTTAATTCCCAGTTCAGGGAGGAGAGCGTGGCACGCAGTCGGTGCTTTAAATTTAGTTGTCTTGATAACTGAGTGAGAAAGCTGTGGCCACAGGCAGAACATCTTGGCCTTGGTGAAGCCGAAGGAGGCCAGAGCCATGACCACGTTCATGCACCTTGGAAGGCCCCATGCTCCCGGGGCACAGGACGAGATGGCACAGCTACCACAGGGGTCAGCTCCCTCCTCAGCTGGGTCTTGATGCCATTTGTTCCAGGCCCACTGGACAGCCTGGGTGGCGAAGGGGTGAACCGTGAGCCCCGTGAGCAGCAGGGAGCTGGCCCGTTCACCCAGCAAACAGTTATCGAGGGCCTGCAGAGTGGAGGGGCCTTGGGCCCGGGCAACATCAGTGACCAGTGCAGCTGACCTGGCTCTGGGATCCCCCTCCCTCGGTCCTCATGGCTGATGGTACTTGTGCTCGTATCCCGGTTCTACAGGGGGGACCTGGTGGCAGCAGCCAGGGCCTCCTCACAGTCATGCTCCCTCTGTCACCAAGACCCAGGGCTTTGGAGGCCGCCCCAGACTCCCAGACAGCTCTGCCTGGAAGTGGGGGTCAGAAGGGCAGCAAGGCTGCAGCCCCCGGCGTCTCTTGGCCCACGCTCAGCTCCTTCCTGCAAGGCAGGAGAACTGGCTCCCACCTCTCGGGGGGACCCGCCTGGCCCAGGCCTAACTGACCTGCTCGCGGCCTGGGCCTGTGACCCGCCCCACTCCACCTCCTTCACTCCAGGCAGCTTCCGCTGGGGACACTTCCTCAATCCGTCACTTGCACACAGTGTTTGTCTCAGGGCCTCTTCCGGGAACCTGACTCAAGCCAGGGTCCAAGACCTGCAGGGGTCGCGGAGCCCAACCAAGCCACGCGGTCAGAGGAGGCAAAGCCACGATTTGCATCCCGGCCTCTGCCGTCCTCCTAACCATCAGGCTACACTGCCTCAGATGAGGGGCTCCACCTGTCCACCTGTCCACCAGGTTTTGAGTGTCCCCTCCTGCAAGCATGGAAGGACGCCACAGCAGGACCGAGCCTGGGGCAGATGAGCGCGACCGGGATTCTCAGGTGGTTGAGGAAGGCAGTCCCAGCCGGTCACTGCCCCGAAGTGCCCATGAAATCTCCCCCGTGGGCTGCGTCGGGCTAGAAACTGGGGTCAGATGGCTGAGACAGGGGTCTCCACCCTCCAAGAGCTCTGAGAACCACATGGCAAGGGTTCCGATGTCACCATGCAGGCCCTGTGGTGACACAGAGGGACATGTCCGTGTAGCTTGGAGTCCCAGGGAAGACTTCCAAAGCAGTGCTGTCCAGCCTGGCTGGACGACAGGGAGTAGGGTGAGACCGGGGTCCAGGAGGGTTGCTCCATGTCCACGGCTGTTGTTTGGGCCACGGTGAGGGCAGGAAATGATGGCCAGCGTGGTATTTGGCTGGCTCTAGAGGCAACGCCCTTAAAGGTGGCCCTCTGCCCGTCCCCAGCAGAGGACTTGCGTCACACCCTCCCATGGGAAAGCCTTTGGGGAGGGCGAGCCAGGCCCCAGCTAGATTCCTCCGTGTTCTTGGGACCTGGCTGTGCCCCTCGCGCTCCCAGCCTCAGCCTCTCCCTGGAGGGGTCAGTCAGCAGAGCCTGCAGGTGCTCACGAAGGTGACAGGAATGTCCCTGGCCCCAGGGAGCCCAGGTGGATCCTCAGGGCTTCCAGGTGTGCGGGGGCGGGTGGGGGTGCTCTGGGGAGCCACAGCTCTTGTCGACTTGTGTTCGCTGATGGCAGAGGGTGGGTGCCCTTCCTGGCCCCCAGGAGGCATCAGGTGGTCTGCAGTGCTGTCCGTGACCAGGGGTCCCACTGCTGGGGACTACCTAGGGATGGGGCTCTTGGAGCCCCACGAGCTTCAGGGTCTTCCACGGGTGTCTGGGCCAAGTTGGGGAGTGGGGAGAAGACGGTGTAGGGGTGTTGGCAGATAGAAGGGCTGATGTGGACATTTAGGTCCACTCTACCCCTACCACTGACCTCCTGAGTCCTTGGCAAACTGCCCTGAGGGTCACTTCTTACTGACTGGATCTAAAGAATCAGACTGCCCACCCCCAGGGAGGGGAGACTCCCGGTTCAGCACCCGCCCCTGATCTCGAGTCTGAGTGCTGCTCCTGGGAGCAGATTTCGTCTCCCCAAAGTTTCTACCTTTGAGGATTTTTAAGGGTTTCACACATTTGCTTTAGTTGAAAATCACAATTCTGCTTCTTTGGGGCCTGGCTGGCATCAAGAGATATGATGACTTAAAAGGTGAACTTCCCTTGCTTGATGCTTCTGCACGCGGCATCAGGCAGGAGCCGCAGGACACCTCTCAGGTCCACTGGCTGGTCAGTTAGAAATGTCCCAGCTGCAAGCAACAGAGACCGTATCTGGGTGTGTTTAGCAAAAAGAGTCCCAAACCCGGGAAGGGCAGAGGCCAGGGCGGGAAGCAGGAGGGCCCTCTGCTGAGCAGGGAGCGCCACAGGTACCCATCCCAGGGGAGGTGTGGCGCTGACCCCACCTGTCTGCCTGGCCGCCTGGCCACAGCCACCAGTGCCACGTGGGCCGGCACCGTGGGCAAGGCTGACTGCAAAGGCTGCGTTGTCTGCTGGACCCAGGTTCGGACGCTGGCCTTGTCCTCCCACTCCTCACGCCCAGCATGGTCTCACCTGGGGTCCCCTGAAGCTAACGCTGAGGCGCGGCTTAAGAGAAGTGGCGTTGGCAGGAGGCGGCCCTGGGGACACTGCTGGGGAGCAGGGAGCCTGGGTGCCGATCCCCAACTCCCCTCCCTCCCTCCCTCCCAGGTTGGGGGTCTCCTGACAGTGGGAAGACGGCCTCGGGCCTGTTGGTACCCAGAGTGTCCCTCACGTTCCCTCAACCTCCAGGTTTCCTGTCGGCTGATCCCAGTGGCTGCCAGGACCCATGATCTCAAATTGGTTTGAAACAACGCTAATGATCCTCTTCCGGTTGCCTCGGAACAGCCGCCCTGGGTCGGGTCAGGGGCATGGGGTGGGCCGGCTCCCTCCGGAGGCTCCCGAGGGTCTGTTGGCTGCTCTTCTGCCGCTTCTCCAGGGCCTGGGTCCCGGGCCCCCCTCTTCAAAGCCAGGGCATCTCCGCTGCCCTCGCCCACGGCTGACCCCACCTCTCCCTGTAAGGACCCACCTGACCACGCTGGGCCCCCATGGCCAGGGGCGTCCCTCCAGCTCCTGACCCCCACTGCACCTGCACGGCCCCTTTTGCCACGTGGGCAGACACGCCTGCAGGGCCAGGACTGGGACATGGACTTCCTCGTCAGCCATCACTCTGCCTGGCACGTGGCCCCTCAGGACAACTCTGCGAGCCTGGGGACACCTTCCCCCAGCGGCACTCGGGTCAGCAGTGGGCACGGGAAGGGCAGAAAGACACACAGTCCTGCCCTTTATTTACCATTTTCAGGACAGTGTCCCGGCCCCTCCCAGCCTCTCAGGCAAATAACTCATTTTTTAAAAACTCCTCTGCACTCCAGATGGGCCTCCGTCCCGGCCCTGTGGCCCTGTGGAAGCTCAAGTTCTCTGGGCCCTGGGGTCTCTGGTTGGCTTCGGAGCCCTGGGCACATCCTCAGTCCTGGCCGCCTTGCTCTTTGCTCTGGTAAAGTGCCCCACACCACCACCCGTGGTGGGTACTGAGGAGGCTCCAAACTCTCTGATTTTTTTCTAGGAAAAACAAAAGCGAACACACCATAGCTGCACTGCTGTCCTGGGCCTCTGCCCGTCACTGCTGCTGAGCTGGGATCCAGCTGGGCCCCAGCCTGGGCGGCTGCTGACCCCTTGGGCCCAGGAGAGAACCTGTCACGGCTCCCAGGGGTGCCACAGCCCTCCAGCTCAGCGGTCCCCTCTTGTCCTCTGAGACTCTGGGGAGCAAGTCCTCAGCGGCCCCTCCAGAGCATCTAAAGAGCGTCACCCGGGGCAACCACGGCTCATTCCTGCCGTCTCCTCTTACAGCCTCCCTGCCCGGGGACTCCCTGCCACCCAGGGCCCCAAGCTGAAGACCCTTAACCCTGCCCTCCCAAACCTGCAGGGCAGCCTCCACACCTTCCCATCCTCCCCCAGCCCCTACCCTGCAAACCAGCTCCTGGTGACATGGCAGACCTCGTCCCGGCCCCCGCCCCGGGTCCCTAATGCACGTAGGCCAGGCCTCCTACGGTGCCCCTGCCATCCCTGTTCAGGTGGAAGAGCAAGAACTGGCACCACCCTGGGACACCTCGGGCAGCCCTGGGAGCCAACGGGCTGCTTCTGCTCTTGACTTCCTGCCCCTCGCAGTGGCCTGGAGGCCGGTGCTACCGTTTGCTTGTTTTGTGGACTGGGAGGAGGGGTGGGGGTCCCCTGGGCAGGGAGAGGACAGTAGCCTTCCACCCACCAGGTGGCACTGCCTGCCACCAGCCTCTCTGTCCTCAGGGAAGGAGCCAGACCTGCTCACAGAGCCACGCTACTGGACGCCAGAGCAGAGCCTTCCCCAGGCTGCCTCTGTCCTCTGGCGGGAGCCTGCGGCAGACTCTGCGGGCGGGTGTTAGGCCCAGGGTTGGACAGGCCTGAGACTCTGCATCTCACCTGGGGCTGGCGCTGCTGGTTCCGGAACCTCACTGTGGGAAGCTCTGCTCTCGTGAGCTGACCACCAAGTGAGACTGGGACTAGGTTGGGACCGTCCTGGTCCCCCCAGGACACATGGCATGGTGTCCTGGAGAGTTCCATGTGGACTCTCCAAACCAGGGTCCTGTGCTGAGGACCTTCCAGTTACATTAAAACCAACCAAGCGATAGTCCTCAGCTTTGGGAGCACGTCCAGCGCTCACAGGTGCCGAAAGTGACACCAAAGGTTTGCTTTAAGCCCCCCGCCCCCGCCTGGCACACTCTGAGGGCAGAGGGGAATGGGCGACTGGGGGAGGGGCACACGGCTTCAGGGCGCCACCTCCACACGGGGCTTGTAGCTGAAAATGTCGGAACGAACCTCGTGGGTTTCAGCTCAGGAACTGTCCTGGACTGGTCGTCTGTGGTGGCAGCACTGCCTCGGTGGACAGGGAGCAGTGGGGGTGGCCGGGGAGACTGGTGTTGAGCAGGCGGCACTGGGCGCAGTGCTGGGAGCCGCGATGGCCGCTTCCCTCTGCTCTCCCTCCTCACAGGCTGGCCGGAGCAGCCGCTCCTTGCCTACTGGGAGGGTGTGACCTGTCCCACACGTCCCTGGATTGAGTGTGGAACTTGCCAGAAGCCGGGCCTCAGGGAGAGGAGGCCTGGGCGAGGGGTGCAGCTGGGCAGGCTGTGAAGGTCCGGGTAGGCGCAGGAGATGGCCACCGAGGAGCTTCTGCACCGCCCATGCCTGGGCCTGCAGGCTTGTCTCTGTGGCCACTGGGCCTGGGGCAGGATTTCCCTGGCCTCCGGGGAAGGTGGCTGGGCTCCGACAGATTCCCTGGGACCCTCGGCCTGCCACACAGGCCAAGCCAAGTGTCTCAGGTGCCTTTAGCACTCACAGGGGTTCGCTTTGGTTTTTGTTGCAAATAAGAGAAGCCCCTTGCTCCTGGCTTAAGACAAAAACCAGGGGCAGCTGCCTACGGGGGGCTGCGGAGCTTGCATTGGACCTCAGGACGGGGGCACAGCCTAGCTCCTGCCAATCAGACGGACAGACGGACGGGCAGTGGCTTCTCTCCTTCTCTCTCCCCCCTCTTCCTCCCTCCCCCCTCTTCCTCCTCTCCTTCTTCTCTCCGTCTCTTCTCTTCTCCCCCCTTTCCTCCTCTGCATCTAAAAGGTAGGAGGTGACCCCCCACCCACACAGCTCCAGGTGCCCCCTCTGCTCACACGGGTGCCTGGCGTTTTCTGCATGCCAGGGCTGGGCAATGCCCTTCACTGTGGGATTTCGACTGATCCCTAGTCGTCACAGTGAACAGTGACGTTTCTTGCCTCAGAGAAGGGAAGAGAAGTGTCTGAAAGTCCAAGAAGCTGCCTGAACCACTCAGGTGAGAGCCCACTCCAGGGCCGGGCCCCAGAGCCCTTGCTCCGTTTCTGCTGTTGAACACCACCCGGGGGAGTGGGGGCACTTGTGACAGCAGCCCTGGCCCGTGCTCTGGAAGCCCCCCAAGCCCCGGCCCCTCCTGGAGGCCCAGTGCCCACACACAGTGTCTTCCTGGACCTTGTGCTGCAGCCCCAGTGCCCCCTGGGCCTCCCACTCGGGAAGGTGAGCTGAACAACAGGGACACAGTGAGTCGTCCTCCACGAGGCCTCAAGGCTGTGGTGGGGTGACTCTGGTGGCAGCTCCTGGTGCCTGGGGGGCACTTTGAGCACCTACCCCCAGGTATGGAGAAAGCCCTCCCTGGGGGTCACAAGGTGGGGTCTCTCCTGCACTGTGGCCCCCTAACGGGGACCCACCTGCCTTCTTTACTGATCTCTGTGAGAATGTTCTAGAAAAAAGACAGGGTGTGGGGGTTAATCCTGGCAGCTCTGTTGGAAAACCCCAGGAATGTGCCCGGGTCATGCTGACCTGGACACAAAGGGATCATTCAATTACGTCTCTTCCTGCAGGGAAGCTGCTTTTCAGAGGCCTGGGCCAGGTGAGGCCATTGGCCTGGACCGGGCAGGAGCGGGGCCTGGCTCGCCCACTCTCTCCCAGCTTCCTAGTGCCTCTCCTTGCTCTGTCTGCTGGGGGCCAGGAGCACCCAGGGGCCATCCTGCAGCTGTGCTCGGAGGCCCTGCCAGCGGGAGGCATGAAGTCGTCGCAGCCCACGACCTGGCCCTCCGCCCTGAACTGTGCCCAGGCCAATGGAGAAGCCACCCGCCTCCACCGCCCTCCCTGAGCCCTGGCCCCTCCAGGAAACTCCGGCTGGGGATTCGGGGAAGAGAGGCTGGCCTCTCCTGCTCCTGGAAGCGTGGGAGGATGGGAAGCCGTCTGGCCACCCCAGTAACCGGCCTGACCAGGTGCTGGCCATGCAGCCCAGGGCCGGTTGCCGCCAGTTCAGCGTCCTGCAGCCCTGTGAGCCAGGGAGTTAAACCTCCAGCCAGGAGGAGGTGACAGTGCAGTCAGCATCTCCTGGCGATGGCCACTCGTCGGGTAAGATCAAGACGGCCAGCAGAGGCGTGTGAGGGTGCTCTGGGGACCGACTGCCATCGGCTCCTGCTCTGACGTGAGAGACCTTTGCACAAGACGTGGCCATCGGGGGAGGAGTGAGGGTACACCTGTCCCTGGCTGCCTCAGCATGTCCTGTGAACTGATCACTAGTGAAGTCTGACCCCCTGACTTCAGCGACGTGTCACTCTGGAAGTATGACGATTGAGCCAGTTGACACTCACAGTAGCAGACATGAAAAAGGGCGGCCGGACTCTGGGAGCCTGAGCTGGAGCCCCAGCAGCCCAACGCAGGGCCCTGACCACACCCCTGCAGCTGGTTCCAGCGGGGCTCTGCCATTGCCTCGGCATCCTGTCTGGTCCCGGGTGGGGCCCCAGTGCCCCTCTGTCCCCCTCTTCGGCCTCTTGGCCCTGGAAGTCCCCACTGTTTTCACCCCTCCTCTCATGGGGCCTGTGGGGGTCACGGCAGCTGTGAGCTCCCTCTTCCAAGGGATGGAAACTGAGGGCTCAGGACTGACCCCTGCGTCCAGGGCACACACCTGGGGCCCAGCAGGACCACACGGGACTCAGCTCCAGAGCGGGCTCTCTGCTGATGGTGCAGATGACCAGGCCCTCTTTGGCAGGTCTTGGGAGGACCAAGAGGACTGGTGCTTGCGTACCAGGCGGGTGATCATACCTGAGCCCGTCCTGTGTACCTACTACGCCCACCCCCAGGGCCCATCCCCAGTGACGCTGGAAGACAGCTGCCCTCATCACGCCCATTTCACAGCAGGGAAACGGAGGCTGAGCGGGGAAACCTGCCGAGGCCAGCACTGGACGTGGTGGAGCAAGCTCTGTCTGCTGGTCTCCACCCCATCTTGTGGGCAGCCCCCTTCAGGAAGAGGGGACAGAGTTGGCCTCCCCTGGATGCTTAGGCCCCTGCAGGACTGCTCATCACCATGTACCCTGCCCCCCAATCCCTGGGCTTTGGAGGCAGGGAAGGGAGGCTGGGACCTAGGCTTGGGTACTCACTGGCTTTGTGACTTGGGTGAGTCCTTTAAGATTGAGGTGACAGTGTCCTTGTCTGAGAGATGCACACCTCCCACCACCCCACGCACTTCCTCCCACAAAACCGCTATTGTCCTGGAGGATCTGCAGGCTGGGTGGCATGAGGGAGGCCGGGGCCTCTGCCCAGCTCTGAGCATTAGCGGGCTCCTGGGGCTCAAGGATTATCATCTGGTTCTGGTGTGGGACACGAAGGGAAGACATCTACCTTCTACGGGGGCAGATGGGGACATTCGTCACTGTGCCTGGGAGCGATCCTGGCCAGGTTTATGTCAACTCCAGCCATGAGGGGCCTTGAGGAATCGGGCACATGACCTCCGTGGGACAGGAGAGGGCCTGACCAGGCCACCGATAACTCACTGCGTCCTCTGTCCTGGAGGGTCTGAACCCACTAGCCTGGGGTTGGCGAATGCCCCTGGGAGTTCTGATGGCAGCCAGGGCCATCGGGGCCAGGGACAGAAGCCCAGGGGCCACACACCCAAGGAGAAGTCCTTTCATCCAGCAGAGGCTCCTGGGGCACCCCTGCCCCCCACGGGTGGGTGCCGGGGCCTGTAAACACTCTGGCTCCCTGGCCCAGCCCTGACGGCCGACTCCACGGTGACGCAGGTCGCCCGTGTCGTCCGCGAGATGACTAGGTTTCCAAGTCCAGAGACGCCAGCAGTGACAGCAGATCGCCAAAGAGCCCCCGGGTCCTTCTGTGGGCGGCACACCCGGGCAGCCTGTGGGGTCAGGCGTCTTGAGGTCCTGAAGCCAAGCTGCCCTGGGGAAGCCCTGGCCTCACCCTCAGTGCCCACCTCCGATCCTGCGGCTTCCCCCAAGAATCTTCCTGGTAAGTGGCTCTCAGCTGCCCTGTCCCCAGGATCTCCTGCAGAGGCTCCCACGCTGCAGCAGGCAGCTGCGCGGCCCCCAGGTTCCCGGACCCCAGGAGCAGAGCGGAGCTGACATCTCACCCTGACGACGCCCTGCCTGGCCACAGCAGCTCGACAGGGCAAAGGTTTACACACCGCCCGGCACCCAGCGTCGTGTCCTCACCCCTCACCGCCCGTCACCCACCGCCCTGCTCATCACGCAGTCAGCCCCAGGACTGTCATACAGGCCCTTCCGCTGCCTGCTGTCCTTGAGTCCTCTCCCGCTGGCTCCTACGAATCAGGCATCCACTGTAAGGTCCCCGAGGGAATCTGCTTGAGCGGGAGGTTCATCTCCATTCTACCAAGGCGGATTTATTTGGAGAGCACTTGGGAGGGGCATGTGCCTGCCAGAGTCACACCTGGAAGAAATCTGCAGAAAGCACCGCGAGGCTGAGCCCTGTCCTGGGGAGGGGCTTCTGGCCTCACACCCGCGGAGGCGCCTTCCCAGGCAGAGATCACGAGGCGCTGCAGGGACCTGTGTCCAGGGTGGTGAGCAGGGACCCAGAGCTGGCCAGGGGCTCCCACTGAGTCACCGCTTCAGCCAGGGCCAAGCTGGGATGGGGGCCAGGAGCTCTGGGCTCATGCTCTGCAGTGGCCTCTGGGGGTCAGGCCACTTTCCTGCATCGAGGCTTGGTGGGAAGAGGAGGAATGTTCTTGGGCCGGGACTGCGAAGGAAGCAGAGAGGACTGTGAGCCGCGGTGGGGGCTGGAGGGGCCGCAAGCCTGCCCCGTCCCTCCCTCCCTGGCCCAGCACGAGCCAGAAAGACCCCACCTCCAGCAAGATGTGACTCTAACTCCCGGGAGCCTTGGGGGCACCTTCTGACTCAGGGACTAGCACACCCTGGACATGGCTCCCGTTTCTCAGGAGGGGTCACTAGCTTGCGGTCACGGGGCGGAGGAGCGGAACTTGAGGCCAGGCCCCTGGCTCCCAGCCCCTCCTTCCACAAACACCCTCAACTGATCCTCGGCCCGACTCCCTGCTGAGACGTCGCAGGCTGGCGTCACACTCCAGAAAGGGTCCTTGTCACAGCAGGCAGTGGACACCCTGATGGGTCCCTGGGCTGCAGACCTCCCCGGAGGACTCAGCCCTGAATATCCTGGGACCTAAAACCTGCTGCTGTCCTTTCAAGACACCTGGAAGTTCTGCCCCGTGGGACTGTCCGTCCCCTGGGCTGCGGCTTTCCCAGGGCCAGGGCAGGGAGGGGGTCAAGGTTCGCCGTGAAGACCCTCTGGTGGCCGACCCCACAGCCCTTAGGGGGCACCTGTGCCTGCTCCCGCTGGCAGCACCTGGGGGCAGCACCTCACCTCACCCGCCGCCGCCGCCTCTCGGCAGCCTCCGCACGCCATTCCCTCCCGCCCAGCGGCCTCCTTGGGTTCCTCGGAGCCCAGACCCCCGCCCGAGGGATTCCCCAGCCAGCTGTCCCCACGCAGCACCTTCTCGACCTCAGTCTTGGCCCAGTGGCACCTTTGGCAGGGCTTCCCTGACCCCACGGGGGCAGCTCCCTGCCCTGCTGGCTCCTCTGCGCCATGTCACCAGCCACCCCGCCATCTATCTAAAGGCCCCACCTGCAGCCTGTCCAGTCTCCTTCCAGGACATGAGCCCGGGGGCAGGGGCTCTGCTGGGCTTGTTGACCGGCCGCCCCAGCACTGGGCCTGGCACACAGCAGACAGCCCGGAACTGGGGCCCAGTACTGGCGCCCGTGGGTACTGCTGGGCAGGTGTGGGCAGGCAGGACAAGCTAGGGGACATTGCAGGTATTGCCAGCCCAGGACTGGTAGGGGAGTCACCACCCTGCTGGTCTCGGCTTAGGGTCCCCAGTGCCCTAAAATGCTCCCACTAGGGACGGCTGGAGCTCTCGGGATCCCTGGGAACCTGCGAGGGATCTGAAACGCCACCAGCAGGTGGAGCCCTCCGCCCGCCCACCCGCCCCACAGCCAGCGTGCTGATGACCGCTGCTTGGCTCCTGGCCCTCAGCCCCCCTCACCTGCCGGCTGGGCGCTGCTCTACTGGAAGCTCCTTGGCTGCCCCTTTCCGGGTTCTGCCACGTTCTTCGAGTCACCCTCTGCAAAACGAAGTGTCCCATCCTGGGGAAATGCCTGCCTCACCGCGCAGGTGACGCCAAGCTGCCTCCCCGTGCCTGGTGACCTGGCCTGAGCCCCGCCCCCCAGGGGGCTGCCCAGCTGCCCGCAGCCCCTCCCCTGGCTCAGCCGGAGCCAGCCTCACCCCTCACCGCCCTGCTCATCAGGCAGTCACCAGGACTGTCACACAGGCCCTTCCGCTGCCTGCTGTTTCCTGGTCTTTAGGCGCAGCTCCCTGTCCCCTCCTGAGGGAGGCTTCCTTGACAACCCGTCTAAGGTGTCCTGCTGGTATCCAGTATGCGGGGTCAGGAGCCTGCGTCACACTGCCCTCAAGTGGCCACTTGGGCCCTGTTAATGGCTGGATTTCCTCCTGATAGCAGCTGCCTGCTGACAGCAACTGTGTCACGGTGACAAGTGTGGCCCCAACCTCCAGCCCAGAATGATAAGCAATGCTTGGAAACGTGTCCATTCCCGATGACGAGGTTGGCTGGGTGGAGGAAGGGACGGTGGGCAGTGGCGGGCGGTGGCGGGTGGGTGGTGGCGGTGGAGAAAGAATGGCTGATGGCACAGATACTAGATGGGGGGCGGGGGAGGGATGGAGCTGGCCACCTTTTCCAATTCCCCAAATAAGCATCCGGGGACAGTTCCGGGTTCTGGCACATCCAGCCCTGGGCTCTGACCGTCAGCAGGAGGCCAGGTCGTCCAGGAGCCACTCAGCCTGCCATGGCCACCACCGGACAGCACGGCTTCGTCCACGTTTCCAAACCTACTTCCTGTCTGTCCCCTACGGTTCAGACCTGGGCTTTCACTTTCCCTCTACAGCTGGTCAGTGCTTGCTGACCCTTCTCATGCCCTCTGCAAGGAAGGAATGGCCTCTTCTCTCACCTGGATATTCTTTGTAAAATCTGTGTCTCAGGAATCGCCCATCTGGAAAAAAATGAGATCAAACTTGTTTCCAGAGCTCATGAGGCCAAAGCCTCAGCCCCTTCTGTCCTCTTCCTCCTCCTCCGGGTGGGCCGGAGCTTTCCCAGGTCCCACAGAGAGTGACACCGCAGCAGCTGAGCAGACGCACAGGAAGATCTCCCTCTCCATTCATGAACTAAAGGGCGTGGCCCGACTGTGGCCCAGTGCCCCCTTCTCACTGTATATGTTTTTGTTTTGGAAAATATGGTTATTTGTAAGAAAAATGATACTTGGGTTTAATGTGTGATGGGCTTGTCGTCATGTTTAAATGACAGGCACAGGAACGTCTTCAGCGTCTGGGCTTCAGTTTCTGTGCCACGCCTGCCCACCAGCCCCCAGCCCCGCCGTGGGGAGGAGCGCGCTGTGCGACCCCCTGGTGAGGGAACGGAGACCCAAAGCCTGGGAACCACTGTCCAAGCAGACCAGCCACCGTGGAATTTCCACGTCCCGTTCAGCCAATGCCATCGCAAAACACGCTCACACACGAGTAAGTGGCACTGAGTGTGTCTGAGGGGACTCCGGGGTCACCATGGGGAAGGACAGTCCTCGATCGATCTTCCCGCCCTGCTTCCCCCACCCCACCTGAGCCTCAGCTTCCTACCAGGAAGGTGCCACACCTGTCCTCCAGGTCACTGCGAGCCTCTGAGAATGATTCCCTGAAAATACACCAGGGGCCACGGGACGCTGCCACTCTCCGCAAAGAGCGGCTACTGCGGGCAGTGTCGACTCTGCGGCCCGTCCTCGAGCCCAGCCTCTCCCCCAGCACGGCCCGGCTGTAGCCAGAACACGTGGGCGCGTGGGAGGGTGGGAGGTGGCAACCATCCTCCGTCCACGCTGTGCCCTCTGCTCTCCTGTGAGTCACGTGGACATGACAGGAGACATCTTCTCCTGTTTCGTGGGCCCATAAAGATCACCAGGGACCAGCGCTGGCATTTTCAGTGCGAGGCAATGACCCCATTGAGCCCCATCCTTGTGGACCTTGGCAGCAGAGGCTTGCCCTGTCCTCGAGCGTCACAGACAGCTACCAAGCGAGTCGGGCGGCAGGACCTGTGGGGTAAGAGCAGGGCCCGGGACCTGCGGCCTCCACCCTGGCTGGCCTGGGGACGGCGGCAGCTGTAGTGATTACTTCTCGGGTAGTTATGAGGCTTGAATGAGAGCTGAGGACAGCACCTGGCACACAGCAGGTCCTCGGTGCGTGTGCGATCCCTGTCTTAGGAAGAGGGAGGCTTGAGGTGGGGAGCCTGC